TCGGTGGCCGGGATAGTGTTAGTGCGGGGCTGGTCACCGGGAACCGGGTCCCTAGCGTGCACACCTCTGGCCTCTTGTCCCCTCAGCTCCCAACTCTGCTTTTATTTTTTCAAAAAGGTGTGATGCAAATAACTTAAGCTTTTGTCCTCCAACAGATCCAGGCACACTTCGTTCCTGATAAGGACAGAGGGACTTCGTGGACTTCTGTGGTCCAGGTCGGTTTTGGCTGGCCTGGCTCCCAGGTCTGAAAGACATCGGCCTATGGCGACTCTTGTCCCGCCAAGGCCCTGGGCGTCCCCTGAAGGGCCCCAGGTGGCTCCTTTAAAGTCCCCAAGTGTGGGCCGGCCCGGTGGCGCACTGGAGAGTGCGTTCGGATCCCATGTGGAGACCGGTTCCCGCTCACTGGCTGAGCGCGGTTGTGATCCCGTTACCGGTCAGTAAAAAAGACAAAAAGGAAAAAATAGGGCCGGCCCGGTGGCGCACTGCGCTAGTGCGCCGCTTGAGAAGCGCGGAGGCGCTCCCACCGAGGGTTCGGATCCCACATGCAGACCGGTTCCCGCTCACTGGGTGAGCGAGGTGTGGGGGCAACACCGAGGGTTGCGATCCTGTTGCCGGTCCCGGCCCGGAGCGGGGGCGATACTGAGGGTTGCGATCCGTTGCCGGACACGGAAAAAGACAAAAAAAAAAAAAAAGGAAAAAATAGGGCCGGCCCGGTGGCGCATGCGCTAGTGCGCCGCTTGAGACGCGCGGAGGCGCTCCCACCGAGGGTTCGGATCCCACATGCAGACCGGTTCCCGCTCACTGGGTGAGCGAGGTGTGGGGGCAACACCGAGGGTTGCGATCCTGTTGCCGGTCCCGGCCCGGAGCGGGGGCGATACTGAGGGTTGCGATCCGTTGCCGGACACGGAAAAAGACAAAAAAAAAAAAAAAGGAAAAAATAGGGCCGGCCCGGTGGCGCATGCGCTAGTGCGCCGCTTGAGACGCGCGGAGGCGCTCCCACCGAGGGTTCGGATCCCACATGCAGACCGGTTCCCGCTCACTGGGTGAGCGAGGTGTGGGGGCAACACCGAGGGTTGCGATCCTGTTGCCGGTCCCGGCCCGGAGCGGGGGCGATACTGAGGGTTGCGATCCGTTGCCGGACACGGAAAAAGACAAAAAAAAAAAAAAAGGAAAAAATAAAAAAATAAAGTCCCCAAGTGACCTTGAAGGGCCCCTGAGGCCCCCACGAGAGTCCTCAAGTGTCCCTTGAAGGGCCCCAGATACCCTAGCTTGCAGGGAGGGGCTTAATGCAGGCTGCCCGACCCAGAGACTAGATTTGGAGTCGCCAGGGCTTCCCATGGAGGATCCCTTGGGCCCATGTGCTTCTCACACCCTGGCAGAAGATGGGCAGTTCCCTCCCCTCTGCAGCATGGAGGAAGTTTTGAGTTCCTACCTGGCCATGGCCCAAGGTGGCTTGTCTCTGTGTACCACCCTGCGTCCTGTTGAGGCCCAACTGACCCCTCAGGGCAGCCAGATGGGCTGAGGTGGAGGTAGGAGGTAGCCTCTGCCTTCAGCTAAGGCCACTGGATATAGACAGGGACAGGGACTGCTTATAATGATGGGAAATTTTTGCTTGTTTTCAGATTTCTCAAAGGAGGGATAAAATGACTAAGAGGAAGAAGGTTCGGACCTCAGGTATTTTGTTCGTTCAAGCTGACACTTCTCGGTGCTGCTTCTGCTTGTAGGAGGAATGTGGGTTTATTTGTAGCAGAAATGCTAATACAACCACCCTCAAGCTCCTTAAAAGAAAACAACGATTTAATACATGCTAGTAAGAAAAATGAAAATTATGGAAAAGAGCATACAGTAAAAAGTGAAAGATTTTGGAGCTTCCACCAGCCTCTGGTGTGGTCCCACAGCCTATGGACAGACTTCAGGGCAGGAGTGCAGCCTCCCTGCAGGCCCACTCCCAGAGACGACCCCTGAATAGAGCTTGACATCCTGTAAGACCATCTGGTGTGTGTCTAAGTGTGTTACTCCAGAACCAAAAACCTGGGTTTATCCCAGCTCTCCTGCTCACTGTGTAACAGTGGATGACTTACTCTGTGTCTCAGTTTCCCCCTTTTGTAAATTGGGGATAATAAAAGCAGGTACCCTTGCTTTAGAGCAGTGGTTCTCCACTGAGTGGGAAGAGGGGATTTTCTCCTCAGGGGACAGCTGGCAATGGTTAGAGACATTTTTTGTTTTTACAACTTGGGTGTGTGTGTGGGAGGACATGGTGGTACTGGCATCTATTGGGTGGAGGCCAGGGTGCTGCTGAAACTTCTACAGTGTGCATGACAGCCCCCGCAACACAGAATAATTCAGCCCCAAACATCTGCAGTGCAGAGGATGGGAATGCTGCCATAGAGCTCACACGTGGATTAGTATTTGTAAAGTACAGAGAACAGACCTGAGGTAGTACACACGTGTGCCGCTGTTAAGGATTGTGCTTCCAGATTTCTAAAAACTTTTCATTTTGAAATAATTTGGGGCTTAGAGAAAAGTTGCAGAAAATAGTTCAGAGAGTTCTGTCTGCCCTTCTTTCAGTTTTCCTTAATGTTAACATCTAGCACGACCATAGAACAATGATAAATTATAGTAAAACATAAAAAACAGGAAACTAATCTCAGTACACTACTTCTTTCAGACTCTTTCTGTGTGTAGACAGAAATTATAGTGTTTTTCTTGGAAAATAGAATCATCACATATACTGATTTGTAACCTCCATTTTTCATTTCACGATAGATATGACCATCTTTACTAAGCGACATACATACAGAATTTCCTTTTTTGAAAAAAATAGGCCGGCCCGTGGCTCACTTGGTAGAGTACGGTGCTGATAACACCAAGGCCACGGGTTCGGATCCTATATAGGGATGGCCGGTTCGCTCACTGGCTGAGCGTGGTGCTGACAACACCAGGCCAAGGGTTAAGATCCCCTTACCGGTCATCTTTATATAGGATAAAAAAAAAAAAACACCCAGTATTACATAGCATAGCTCTATTTCCCTGTCATTGTCTTAGGTAACTTCTTTACTTAGTGGGTGATGAATTTAGGGAGTGGTGCTCATTTTTTCCCCAAGATATGGGGCAGAAAAGTAATTATCAACAGATAGGAAATGTTTTGTGCAGAGATGAGCAACAGGCCACTTGGAGGCACAGGAATTTCTCTGACCTTGGAGGGGGATGCTGGGGACAGCCAAGCCCACCCACGGCAGGTCATTTGGGTCGGTCCTCTCTTGGCAGTGGACTTCCCAGCCCAGTGCAGCTCTGTGCTGGCCCTAGACAACTCTTTCTGTGTGTGTGCTGGATGGGGTGGGGAGAGAGGAAAAAGATTCTGGCAGGGGGTGAAAGAGGCCCTTTACCTCCCAACATCTTCAGCCTTTGGTGTTGAACACAAGGCTCTGCCTTATTTGTTCTTAAATTAGTCCCATGGGGACAGATCACAGGCAGGAAATGGGAGGCTCTTCACTTCTGTTGATATTTTTGCTTTTTATTTGGTACAAATGACCATTGGATCAGCCAAGTGAGCTAGTGTTTGGGAATATTAAGAAACCGAATAAACAAAGCTGCTGCATTTTACCCTTCCTGGCAGATCATAAGGTGGAAATGCGTTTGTGTAAGAGAAATCCATGGGGCCTCAGTCAGAGTGCAGCGCTTGCTAGGGTGGGCACCTGAGAGAGGCGGAAAGGGGCTGAGATCAAAGGGCATAGCAGAATCAGTCCTGCTCAGGGGACCCTCAAGGCCTAGTCAGGGGGGAAAGGAAAATTCTCACAGAGAGAGCTAATCAAATACATAGCAGTATATATGGGCACACTCAAACTATAACTGACAGAATTAGAAGAAATGACAAAATTGCTGTGGTTTGGTGGAGTGCAAATACCGAGTGAGAACTGAGGAGCAGCCTAGCAATTGGTGTTGCCGGGGCGGGGACTCACTCAATGGGTTTACTTAAAGAAGTGCAGGTGCGTGAGGGGCTGAAGTTGGAAAGAGTCTGCTTGACTGAACTCTGGAAAGGCAGCACCTGGGTTTGGTTTGTCTTTTTGTTCTTCCTGCCTGTTTTCAAGCCCAGTAAAGAGTACGCTCTCAGTAAATGCTCAGGTGCTCTGAAGTGTGCAGGCTCTGGAGTTGTTCTGGATCCCAGTCTCCATTCCTTGGCCTCCGCGTCCTCACCTGGAAGATGAATGTTACAGCAGCCCCCTACCTCGAAGTTTTATCGTAACACACACAAGTTCTTAGGACAGCATCTGGCGTGAAACTCACTAGAGTCAACCCTTGTCATTTGTTCATTGAATATGTGGTTAGGTTGGGGTCAGATTCGGGGGGGTCTCACAAACCAGGCACCACTGGCAGTTTCTCTGTAAGGGAGTTTCCTTCATTCAACAAATAGATGTTAATAATCACCTTTAGATTCTCAAGGGCAAGAAAAAGACACCCATGCAACTGCATTCAGTGATGGGAAGGTAGTACAGAGGTACAGGGACAGAGTGGTGGCCAAAGCACTCAGTGACTGGTTCCCAGTTTTCCCAGGATGGGTATTATGTAGGTGTCTTGGAAAACTAGAGTGGTACATTATTTAGTCTTGTCTGCACCTGGTGAATGGCATTCTCCCTGTGCGTGTATTCGGTCACCCACTAAGCGTTTATATACTGAGAACTCACTGTACTAGATGCTCCTCTAGGCACTTGAGACCCAGCAGAGAGTGACAGATGAGACCCCTCCTTGAATGCAGCCCAGTTGTAGTGGGGGAGGCAAGAGATGGCACATGCAGAAAAACCGTGAACTGAACAGGACAGAGCCGTGGGCCAGAAAGGGATGCTTCTAGAGAAGTCAGGGATGGCCCCTCTGCAGGGCCGTTTAAGCTGAGGTCTGCCACACACCTCTTGCCACTTCCCCAGAGTCAGCTGGGCCAGGTTGTTCCATGTGGTTTGGAGCCAGGCCAGGCCATCTCAGGATTCAGCCGCAGTCATGGCCAGTGCATTAGTCAAATGCCCTTGAATCCCATGGCCATGTAAGCTCATAGGCCCCACCTCCTGGACAGGGTTCCATCCCATCTCTCGCTCACCAGGGGAGTCTCAGAGCAGGGGTTTCATGCCCTTGGGACACGCCTGCTCACTCATGGTGCAGCAGTGGCAGTGTACACTCCCTTCCCAGTGTCTTCCACACCTTCATCTTTCTTTGTCTCCAACCAGGAGAAGGAATCCGTCCTCCAAAACCCACAAAGAACCCAAGGCAAGGAGACTCTGATGGGGGCCCCCAGAGTTCCGAGTTGGGCGGTTCGCATCACCCTGAAGAGCCAGAAGGCAGGTCGGGACGTGCTTCCTCTGCAGAGCAGAGCAGGGAGGAACTGGGACAGGCAGTCTCCAGGTAGGTGGCTTGCAGCATTCCAGCAGGCCTCCCTGCTGACAGTTGACACAGCACAGCAGCCTTGTGGATGGGCACAAAGAGGAGAGGACCAACATGACCCACCTGACACTCCCTCACGGGTGAGAAAGGTTGACATTGTAACCATGGGCAAAGATAACATCGAATCATTCAAGGCTACAGAGTGAAACTCATATTTTGTCTGCTGGTCAAATCCATGTTTATTCCACATCCCTCCTCCTCCTAAATCAAGGAGAGACTGAAGGAGTTGTTGGTCTGTGAAATAATTGTACCAATAGATAATAAACATTTTACACACATCACCTCATTAAATCCTATGGCACTGTGAAATAAGGTTTTTTCAATGCTCAATTTATATAGGTGATGACCCTGGAGGTTTAGAGAGATCACATGACTTGCCCAAGGCCCCTGGGCTGGTGCAGGCAGGCTGGAAATCTGGCTCTGTCCAGTTCCTGTGTTCTTAACCATTATGAATTCCTGGTTCTCTTATTTTTTCACCAAATATGTAATTAAGCATGGTAGGAAAAAAAGAAAGCCCTCAAGAACATCTTAGTCAGTCCATGGGGTTAAACCACATACATGTAACTATGGTAAAGTAGAAAGGGTTAGTGGGAGTTTGGAGAAGCAAGATTCCTGCTGCCGAGATCATCAGAGAAGGCGTTGTGGATAGGACTGCTGAATTTTCTGAGTAAAAAATTGAGGCATGTGTTTGTCTGACAAAACTTTTCTGGGGTGTGTGTGTGTGTCTGTCTGATATGATCTCAGGTCATTGCAGTCTTAGGACTAAAGGCTGGATCACAAGGTCACAAGTGCTGACACTCAGGTCACTTGGCAGCCCTGCTGTGTAAGCAATGTGAAAAGAGGGACCATGTGTCACACCTAAACTATTGTTCTAGAAAGGCATGACACTGTCACTGTACTCCTCACTTTTGGATAGGCCAGCAGGGCTGGCAGGGTTGTGGCCACTGCCCACGCTGCCTTCTGAGTCCACAAGAATGGTGGATTCTCTGGGTTCCCACCCTTTTTTTTCTTTTCTGTTTGTTTTTTAAATGTTTTATTAAGAAATACTACATGCACAGTGGCCAGCCCATGGCTCACTCGGGAGAGTGCGGTGCTGATAACACCAAGGCCATGGGTTTGGATCCCATATAGGGATGGCCGGTTAGCTCACTGGGTGAGTGTGGTGCTGACAACACCAAGTCAAGGGTTAAGATCCCTTTACTGGTCATCTAAAAAAAAAAAAAAAAAAAAAAAGGAAATACTACATGCACAGAAAAAGACACACAAGAAAACATGAGGCTGGCCGGTTAGCTCAACTGGTTAGAGCATGGTGCTGATAACACCAAGGTCCGAAGTTCAATCCCTATACTGGCCAGCCAACAAGAAAAAAATAAAAACATGAAGTAAACAGCTTAAAATATTTATGTTGAGAAATGAAATATTGCTGGCACCTCAGAAGACACCCAGGTGACCCATGCCAATTTTAAATTTTCTAACAGATTCTGCCAATCCATATCTTGACTTGTCTTGCCTTATAACCTCCCCGGAACAATTCAAGCCCATTAGCATATTTTCACGCTTTTACCTGCTCCACTTCCAAAGTTGAAATCATCTGAAATTTTTGTTCTGGATCTTGATTTTTTTTTTTTTTTTACAATGTACATATATCCACATTTATTTAGGTATAACCGTAAATCTCACCAGATTTTTTAGGCAGTGTGTTTCTCATATCCACACCTTCCTTTCTCTGGAATGTGTAGTGTTGGGGCTGCAGTGTCCATCCAAGTGAGAATCCCGTTCTTACTTCAGGAGCCAGTTCCTGGGATTGTAAGAGTAAAAGTGCTGCTGGGTTAGATGGTCTCTATTCTCCATGTGGGACTCTGTACCCTTCTTGGCCATTAAATGATGTCAGGTAACCACTCCTCCATCCAACCATTTTATTTTTTTATTTCTGTTTTTTGCTAGCTGGTGTGGGGATCGGACCCAGGACCTTGGTGTTATCAGCACCACGCTTTAACCAACTGAGCCAATCCCACCCTCTTAAAGCAGGTGTTCCAGAGCTTCCCTTCTAGGAGACTCTGCATCACTTCTTTTGGATTTTGTTTTCCGTTTGTCTTAATGACATGAATTGACATCTTAGGAGGACTTCTGATCCTCCTGAGTTTTGTCTATCCCCACACAGCTCCCCTGATGAGGAAATAGGAGCTTCTTCCAGGCTCCTCGGGCAACGAGAAAAGGAGTCAGCTCCCTTTCCTCCTTCCCAGGTGAGCCTATTTTGTAGCCTCATGTATGTACCATTGACCCTTGAACAACATGGGGGTTAGGGGCACCGTACCCCCCACAGTCAAAATCCATATATAACTTTATAAACTTTATAATTTTTATAACTTTATAAATCCATATATAACTTTATTTTGGCAGCTGGCCTGTACAGGGATCTGAACCCTTGACCATGGTATCATCAGCACCACACCATGAGTGAGCTAACCAGCCAGCCCTACATAAAACTTTTGACTCTCCCAAACTTAACTGTTGATCAGAAGCATTACAGATAATATAAATAGTCAATTAACATATTTTGTATGTTATATGTATTATATACTGTATTCTTACAATAAAGTAAGCTAGAGAAAAGAAAATGTTATTATGAAAATCATAAGGAAGAGAAGATACATTTACGGTACTGTACAGTATTTATTGAAAAAAAAAACCTGTGCAGATCGAACTTGTGTTGTTCAACGGTCAACTGTATGAGAGACACTGCCGTTCAGTTCAAGTTCTGGGTCTCTCTTCATTGTCAACAGCTGCTCACGGCCTGCAGGGGCTGGTGGGAAAGTGCTGGGCAGGGTGGCGGGGGTGGGAGTGGAGGGCAAGGGACACACTAGAGGCTACAAGAAAAGAACTGATTTGGGTTTTTTTTTTTTTTCTAAGATCTCATTCCTCCCTTATCTTTATTGCTGCTTTGTTCTTGTATCTGGTTTACAGAGCTCAGTTGGGAGGTTTGTCCCCCAGTTTGCAAAACCCAGGAAGACAGTTGCAAGAAAAGCAGAGACCAGGGAAGAGGACCCTAGCAATGGGGCCATTAGCCCGGTAAGGCCCTAAAATCAGCTAGGCTGAGCCCCAAATGCGTGCAGTCTCTTGGCCAAGCCTCAACAGCTGAGTTTCACCTTGGTTTTCTTTGGTAATGGCTGGACTTGCACCTCTCCACCCCCAGTTTCAGCACATCATGTTGCAGATGTCTGCTGCGTTTGCACTAGATGCTGTATGGGCCAGTTGGAAGTGTTCAGGACAGCTATGCCTGCACTGCTATGGTCAAGGCCAGAACCATCTTTCCCCAGGTTGCATGGAAATAGTAAAACTCAGAAAGGTAGCCCACATTCTATCCCTGAACCCCTCTGCTTCTCAGGGGCTTTTGTGTGAGTCAGGGGCCTTACAACTCTCTTGTCCTGGCCATCATGAGTTCCAAGTGTGACAATGTCTCTGGCAACATGTGCCTCTAAAAGAGTAGGTTTGGGGTGTTCACAGCAGCTGTATTTGTGATCACCCCAAACTGGGAACACTCCAGATGTCCTTCAACAGGTGATGGTTAAGTGAACCATGGTCCATCCACACCGTGGAACACTACTCAGCAATAAAAAGGAACAAACTAGTTAGTGATACATGTGACAACTTGGGTGGATCTCCAGGGCATTGTGTGGAGTGGGAAAAGCTAATCTGAAAGGTTATATACAGTAGGATTCCGTTTATATAGCACTGCTTAAATGACGAAATTGTAGAGATGGAGGAGAGATTCTTTTCCAGGGTGGGAGGGCAGGAGAGGGAGGCAGGTATAGCTATATAAAGCAGCTTGTACAAAGGGATCCTTGAGGTGGTAGAAATGTTCAGTCTCTTGACTGTGGTGGTGGATATACAAACTCCACAGACGACAACTGTGTAGAACTTCATGCACACATGCAAATGAGCACAGGTTCACCTGGGAGGGTCTGAAGAAGGTCCATGGATCTTATCAAGGTCAACATCCTGGTCCTGATATTGTACTTGTGTTACAATTGGGGGAAAATGCAAGATGTTACAATTGGGGAAAACTGGATGAAAGGCACAAAGATCTTTCTGTATTATTTCTTACAACTGCATAAGAATCTACAAGGATCTCACAATAGAAAAGTTTAATTTTTAAAAAAAGAGGGTTGGGAAGAGCATGGGGCTAATAACATCAAAGTCTAGGGTTTGATCCCTGCACCAGCCAGCTGCCAAAAAAAGAAAAAATCACTGAAGCTGGATTGACATGCTGCTACCTTCAGTGTCCAACATCTGCAGTACAGACCCTCTCCTAGAAAGGTTGGCCCTGATGGGTGTAGGGAGGTAACTGTAGAGGAGGCATCTTCCCCCAGTGCTGATAACTCTAGAGCAGCTGTTGTCTGTAGGGGACCTGCTGGGTGTAGACTGCAATCTGAGTTATTGAGTTTGTGCATTTGTAGTCCACTTATCGGAGTTTCTCAGGAAGTTGTGTGGTGTGGAGGTTGGGAGCGGGCATTTTGAATTGGACAGTGTTTGTGTTCCGGCTCCTCTGCTTTCCAGACCTTCCTTAACCCTGTGGATTAGAGACAGTGATAGAAATGTGCCTCACGAGGTTGTCAGCAGGATCCAGCAAGGCACCGCGTGCAGAATGTCAGCACCACGCTTAACATGTAGTGTGTGCTTGGCTAACGCTCGGCGCACACTTCTGATTTTTGATTTGACATTGCAGGCCTGTGCATGAGGAGCACATTCACACACACAGGTGTGCCTGTTCAGACATTAAAAACTCAATCCAAACACCAAGGCCACGGGTTCAGATCCCTATATAGGGATGGCCGGTTAGCTCACTTGGGAGAGCATGGTGCTGGCAACACCAAGTCAAGGGTCAAGATCCCCTTACCGGTCGTCTTTTTAAATAAATACATAAATATATACATACATACATAAGTAAATAAATAAAAAACTCACTCCAAGAGGACTTGTGCACCTTCTCAATGCCCGGCGCTGCTTCCAGCATTGGGGAGATGGGGTGGTGAACATGTTTATCCCCTATTCTGCCCTTACAGCCAGGAAAAGAGCAAAAGGAGTGCTGCGCTGGGAGGGGAGGCTTACAGAGGTGGCCAGTGTGGCAGCTAAAGAGAGAGATGCAGGAAGTGGGGGCTGAGCCTCATGGGAACCAGGGAGGAATGTTCCCCACAAAGGAAGACACCCAGGGTAGGGCCTGAAGCAGGAGCAGGGTCAGTGCAGCGCAATGAGGACCAGCGAGATAGCTGGCGGGCCTGGAACCCAGGAGAAGGAGGGGGAATACTAGAGAGGAGATGGGGGGGGTCTGTACCATGAATGATTTGGGGGCAGTGGGAAGGCTCTAGGCAGAGGAGAGACGTGACCCACAGAGGTCTGAAAACCATCACCTGGCAGCTTTGTTGAACGTCAGCTGAACCCAGGTCAGGGCAGGCTGGGAGCCCATTAGGGGACTATTGCAGATAGCCAGGGGAGAGAGGATGGTGTCTGGGCCAAAGCGATCAGGGACAGAGCTGGCAAGAAACAGTAAGATTCCAGATATATCTGAAGGGAGAGTTGACAGGGTGGCCATGAGAGGAAGGGAGGGATGGGTTGACTCCAGGGTTTGGGGCCCGGATGGTGGCTGGAGGGATGGAGTTGCTATTAGCTGAGACGGGGAGGCTTTGAGGGGGATGGGGGAACACTCAGGAGCTGATGTTGGTCGTGTCACATTGGAGGTGACCTGGAGGTGCCAGGTGGAAGTGTCAGATATGTGCATCTGGAGTCAGAGGAAGTCCGGGCTGCAGTGACTCCAGAGGTTTAGGCCTGAGCAGCTGGAAGGGTGGAGCTGCCATCCACCTGAGGCACGATATTGCATCTGACTCCCAGCCAGAACCCGCTTCTCCCCAAGGTGGTATTTCCATCTCTCCCCACCACCCTCTTCTTGTCATTTTCCACCTCCATTAGGGACTTTTTTAAAAACAACTTTTTTTTTTTTTTTTTAAAGATGATCGGTAAGGGGAGCTTAACCCTTGGCTTGGTGTTATCAGCACCACGCTCACCCAGTGAGCCAACCGACCATCCCTATATGGGATCCGAACCCGCGGCCTTGGTGTTATCAGTACCACACTCTCCCGAGTGAGCCACGGGCTGGCCCTTAAAACAACTTTTTATACTGAAATAATTAATAGACTCATAGGAAGCTGCAAAAACAGTACAGGTGCACGTCCATTGACAGATGAATGGATAGACACGGTGCAATGTAATACTATTCAGCCCTAAAAAGGAAGGGAATTCTGACACATGCAACATCATAGGTGAACCCTGAGGACATTATGCTAAATGAAATAAGCCAGCCACAAAAGGTAAACTGTATGATTCCACTTATCTGAGGTCCCTACAGTAATCACATTCATAGAGACCGAAAGTAGAATGGTGGGTGCCAGAGGCTGGGGAAGGGGATGGGGAGTCAGTGTTTAATGGGTGCGGAGTTTCAGTTTGGAAAGATGAGAAAATTCTGGAGGTGGATGGTGGTGATGGTTGTACAACAATGAGAATGTAATTAATGCCACTAAACTGTACACTTAAAAATGGTCAAGATGGGGCCGGCCGGTGGCTCACTTGGGAGAGTGTGGTGCTAACAACACCAAGTCAAGGGTTAAGATCCCCTTACCGGTCATCTTTAAAAAAAAAAAAAAAAAAAAAAGGTTAAGATGGTAAATTTTATGTTAGGTGTATTTTACCACAATTTTTAAAAAGTAAATTGTACAGGGCTGGCCTGTGGCTCACTCGGGAGAGTGCGGTGCTGATAACACCAAGGCCCCGGGTTCGGATCCCATATCGGGATGACCGGTTCGCTCACTGGCTGAGCGTGGTGCTGACAACACCAAGTCAAGGGTTAAGATCCCCTTACCGGTCATCTTTTAAAAAAAAAAAGTAAATTGTACAGGGCCGAGCCCGTGGCGCACTCGGGAGAGTGCGGCGCTGGGAGCACAACAGCGCTCCCGCCGCAGGTTCGGATCCTATATGGGGATGACCAGTGTGCTCACAGCGCTCACTGGCTGAGCGCGGTGCAGCCGGTCTCAAAAAGGACAAAAAAAAAAAAAGTAAATTGTACAGAAAGGTTCCTGTGTGCCCTACCCCAGCTTCCCCCGGTGATAATGTCTCCCATAGCCATAGTCCATCATCAAAACCAGGCAATTAACATTGGTGCGATCCACATACCACCTTGATTTTTATATCCCTGATCTTCCTGGATGCCTGGTGCTGGCAGGGAGAAGAAGCTGGTGGAAGGACAGGTTCCTGGGCTTCCTGTTCCCGTGCCACCTCCAGACACAAAGCTTGGCCCAGCTCTGGTACTGATGCCTATTTCAGTGCACGATGGTCAGTGTACCATCTGAGTCTTTGGACAGGGCAGTTATGACTAGAAGAATCTTTAGAGCAGTTGATTATCATAGGCCCTAGAGCTGAGTCTTTTTCTCTCCACAGGAGACACTTCCAGAGCCCGGTGCCCAGCAGGCAGGAAGCCAGCTGCTGGAGGAGTCCCCAGGGCTTGCTCTCCAGGAGGCCAGGGAGCTGGGAGACCAGGAACAGGCAGATGACACCCACCCTGAGCAGAGCAGCTGGAACCTCGTGAGGCCTGTGTCCAGCAGCTGGGATCCTCAGCCCATGGTCTCTCCAGAAGGGGGAACAGCACCCTCTGCCTCAGAGGGAGCCAGCCAGTACCCCCTGTTGGAGCAAGGGACCAACAGGGATGGTGGAAACTTGGGGAACAGCAGGCCAGAGACAGAGAGGGCTGGGGTTGAAGGCAATCATGGCCAGAAAGGGCACCTGCTGAGAAGTGATGCTTCAGGGAAGGAGAAAGACAGAGGAGTCCCCCAGGAGGGAGGTGCCCAAGGAAGGGCAGGAGCTGACCTGCCCGGGGGGCCCTGGGAGGAAGAAGATGGGGTCCCAGCATCAGCTCCTACCTTGGTCCCTGCTCAGGGACTGGGCCCTGCTACTGGGTGCCCAGAGCCTGGGTCTCTGGCCCAGGGCCCCCCTAATCCCAGACACATGCCCAGTGGGACAGGGGGAGAAGCAGAACAGAGCCGCAGCAGCCAAGGATGCTTCTCCCTGGGGGCTGCTGTCATCGCAGACATGAGCATAGACCCTCCTGAGCTGGAACAGAGGACTCCAGAAGTGGCCAGGCCAGATGGGCAGACCAACACCAGGTCATCTGCCTCTCCCGCCAGGAAGGCCTCTGATGGAGGACACAGCAGGGAGACCACAGGAGGCAGAGGGGCACCAACGTGGGGAGATGAGCCCCCAGGCAACCTCCCAGTGGGCCTCACAGCCTCCCTGGCTCTGACTCACAGGAACCGAGAGCCATCATTGGGTGCTGGAGTTTCTGGCCATCTAGCCCCAGAAACAGGCCCAGGTGTTGATCAGAAGCAGGTTCCAGGCCCTGATCAAGAGGCAACCAAGTTAGGCAGTCAGAGCCACGAGCAAGTCCCCGAGGGGCTCGGTCTATTCCTCCGCACCTCTGTTCTGCCAGAGCACAGGGAAGCTACAGTTGACCCTTCCCAGGAGACCTGGGCCTGCCAGGGATCAGCCACCCCTGCAGAGCCAGCAGGGCAGCCTGAATACCCTCCTGATTCTGCAGACCAGGCCATCTGGGGGGGGTCCTCAGCCGTGGAATTTGACTTCCTGCCAGAAAGCCAGATACGGGATGCCCTGGATGCCCCCGACTTTGAAGCCCCACTTGAGCAGGTAAGAGCTTCTCCGAGTGACAGATAGTCGCAGGGCAGGCACCAAACAGCCTCAAGCCCTGTCCCCAAATTGCCCAGTGGTGGAGGGAAGATGCAGCTCATGGTGCTCCACGTACACAGAAAACAAGTCAGGGGCCTGAGGGGCAGCTTTGGTGGGTGAAGAATCAGTGGTTTTGCAGAAAGGGCCCAGATTCCTTTCTGTGACAATCCCCGGGGCAGTGACGCACAGGTCTTTGTCAGCTGCTGGCAGCTTTGTGCCCACCTTGTCCACCCTTCAGTGCCTGCAGGCTCTGAAGGGGCACATGGAGGGCGGTGGACCGAGAGGGACGACCTGAAGAAGCTAGCAGCCTCACAGCTGGGCCTGGGGAGGGGACTTCACTCCCCATCCAGAAAAGAACCTTTGCCCATCTTTAGGATCATCTGGAGGTACTGATATGATACTTTTCCAAACATATATAAGTAATGGTGGTTTTCTGCCAGAACTTGTCAGGGCTGTGCTTCCTTCAGGATCTGCCCACCCAGCAGGCTGGGCCATGTCACCTTCCCTGGTGGATGAGCCTGAGAAGCCATGGGCATCCACCTGTTGGGGCAGGTGGCAGTCTTGCCTCAGCCCCGCCCCTGGGGGAAGTGGAATATCCCCTGCCTGCTGGCTGGGGCACCTGAGCCCAGATGAAGGGCTTTACAGTCACTCCCTGAGAGGCAGGTGCTTCCCTTTCCACATACTGGGTGTGGCAAAAAGGCTGGAGGAGGTCAGGCACCTGGCGGAGGTGACATGGGGGCAGGTTGGCAGCCGGGTCTGCTGGATGCGGAAGCTGCGCCTGGGCCACCCTGTCCTGGAATGCAGAGCCCAATTTGCTTTTCAAATGTTGGCCTCTGTTTCCTTTGCCATCCCTGTTGAGATGTTTTAAAAAAAAATTCATTCAGGGGCTGGCTGGTTAGCTCAGTTAGAACACAGTGTTGATAACACCAAGGTCAACGGTTTGGATCCCCCTACCAGTCAGATGTCAAAAAAAAAAAAAAAAATTCAGTATGTACTTATCAAGCACCTGTTCCATGCCAGGGTGACAGTGTAAACAAACCGGATGTGTCCCTGGCCCTGTGGGGTTTATGGTAGTCCTGTTTCCTTCTGCATCTCCCAGGGTGAGCATTTTGTACTGTATCACTCCAGCACTTAAAGAGTTGTTTTTTTTCTCATGGCACAACCTGAAACACCAGCACAGGATTTCATCGGGTGCTCAGCTGGAGAAAGAACCAGCTGTTCACTTTGGAGGGGAGCAGGGCTGGGTTAGGCTTGTCAAGAGAGTGAATGTGGGTCTGCAAGGCGTTGTCCTCCTAAGGGGTCACCAGGGGTCCTTTTTGGCCCTCTGCGATGTCCACCTATGTGGTGGTTTTTCAGACTCAGCCCTTCCTGCAGCGTGCAGGGCACAGCGCTCTGTCTCTTGTCGTCATCATCAGACAAGCAAGATAATTGAAGGTGAGTCAGTGCAGTTCAGTTGCAGAGTTTGAACACGAGCGCTTGAGGAGCCAAGAAAAGTTCAGGTGCTGGGCACATCTGAGATTTTATCATTAGAGCCTCATCCTTTAAAAAACACAAATCCCTCACCCGGAGAGAAGAGCTGGCTACATTGCCTCAGCCTCCAGCCTCCAGGACAGTGGCTGAAAGAGGGGGCCTGGGAAGCAGTTGGGAGGTTTGGGGGCAGGTGTACCCAGGCACCTCCAGCAGTTAATAGGCTACCAAGCTGCCAGCTTTGAAAATATCAAAAAATCGGGACTGTGAGGCACGGGGGATGACATCCCAGGTGGTCAGACCCAGCCAGGGGAGGAGGCACCGCCCTCACGACGCCACCGACGCCTGGGGGAGTTTGGTTTTGACACTGGGCGTTCCTGAGCAAGTCAGGGCGACCCAGCCACCAAACAGGTTCCCGTGGGAAGGTTCCAGTTGGCCCCCCGGCAGGAAGGCAGAGGCACTCAGGAATAGCACAAAGAATGATCTAAAGAGCAGTTAACAGTGGCCTCCTGCTGCAAACGTCATTTCAGAGGAGGGGACACACAGAGGTTACAGCAGTGACAAAGGCTTCACACCTCAAACCAAGACCTCACAGAAGAGTTTGGTGTTTTCTTCTCACAGCTCTGTGCAGACCCTCGGACGGGTGGAGCCTTTGTACGCTGCATGAGGGAGTTATTTAAATAGCTGATTCTGGGCCGGCCCGTGGCTCACTCGGTAGAGTGCGGTGCTAATAACACCAAGGCCGCGGGTTCGGATCCCACATAGGGATGGCCGGTTCGCTCACTAGCTGAGCGTGGTGCTGACAACACCAAGTCAAGGGTTAAGATCCCCTTACCGGTCATCTTTAAAAAAAAATTTAAAAAATAAAATAAAATAAATAGCTGATTCTGTTCTGATCCCCATGCTGGCCATCTACCCCCCCCCCAAAAAAAAGCTGATTCTGGGTCCCTCTCAGGGATCACCGGCTAGTCATCCTTGGCCAGTGGTCCCCAGCACATTCAGCTGGGGGGCCACCTTTGTTGTGTCAAATGTTTACACAGCCCTGGTGGGAACAGTTGTACCTGTTGGAGGTGAGAATAATATTCCTCTCGGCCAAGAAGAGTGCAGTGAGTTAGGTGATTGTGTAACATTGAGTTGTGTTTTATGTATGTATGTACGTACATACTTGGGATTCGAAGCCTTGACCTTGGTGTTACCAGCACCATGCTCTAACCGAGTGAGCCCACCAGGCAGCCCCTCGAATTTTGTTTTAAATCACAATATCACCTAAATAAAAGAGTCGTCATCCAGACATTGGGGAGACACAGTATTGTCTGCAGCAGGGTTTCCTAACCACAGTACTGTGAACATTTGGGGCCAGATCATTCTTTGCTGTGTGGGACTGTCCTGTGCACTGTAGGGTGTTGACCAGCACCCTGGCTTCCAACCACCAGATGCCAGGAGCACCCCCTCCCCCAGTATGACAATCAAAAGTGTCTCCAGGCCCTGCAGAGTGTCCCCTGGAGGCAGAATCGTCCCTGAGGGAGAACTGCTGGTTACAGGCTATCCTCTGAGTTTGTTCCTTTGGATTCAGGGTCCTTTTACAGGTGTAGCTCAAGCCCTTCCCCCTCCCCCTACCTCCCACCCTGGTTAGGGGCTCCATTCAGGAAGGATGACCTTAGAACAGGCCTCTTCCCCTCCAGGACTTTGCTCTTCTCAGAAGAGGCCCAACATCCCTGGGCTCGCTGCTCCACCTCGGCCTCTTTGCCTGTTTTTGTAGGGATGTATGTCACTTCCGTGACCAAGCTTGACATTTTCCACGAATACTAAAGCTTCCTGGGGTTATCTGGCTTTCCTCTTTTCCCTCGCAATATATTTGTAAAATCAAAGAAAAACAAAACCAAAAAATATATATATATTTGCAAAATCTTTTCCTGATAGGATATGCATGGCTCATTCGGCAAGGTGGACGCCTCCACCTCACTAGAGTTGCCGCCGCTTGGGGTCTTCTTTGTGCCTCTAAAGGTGCTGCGGAGGGCCAGCCCGTGGTTCGCTTGGGAGAGTGTGGTGCTGATAATACCAAGGCCACGGGTTCGGATTCCTATATAGGGATGGCTGATTAGCTCACTTGGGAGAGCGTGGTGCTGACAACACCAAGTCAAGGGTTAAGATCCCCTTACCAGTCATCTTTTAAAAAAAAAAATAAAATAAAGGTGCTGCAGGACACACAGGAGTCTGCAGCGGTTGTCAGGGACAGGACTCATGGACAGAGCCACCTGCACAGATCAGCCTGCAGGGAAGCCCAGGTCCAGGAGAGGATGTCAGGGTTGGGCTTGGCATCACCACGTTGGCTTTCTTTCCAGGGGAGAGAGCGGCCCGGGCTGGTCACCTAAGTCTGGCCACTTTTCCTCTGCAATTGTCTTGGCCAGCCTTGGTGTCCCTGGAGTGGCTGAGGTGAAGCTGGAGTTCCCCAGCATGACTTTTGCTTCCCCCGTGCAGGGCTCGCCTGACTGGACCATTTACACATTGTGCTTTCTCTTTCCAGCTGTTTCCTGCAGGGAGCAGGCTGGACCCTTGCTGTCCTGGCCCTCACCCACATGCCAATGGAGACCCCCTCCCAGTGGCCGAGACCCAGCTGAGGTAGGTGGGGTGGATGGGAAGTGGCCCCAGGACTATGGCCCACCAGCTCTGTACACTCCCATTTTACTGTGGAGGGTGACAGAGTGGGCCCCGTTCTCCCTCCCTGAGCTTCATCTTCCTCAACCCTGAGGGAGCTGAGCCCTGCCTGTCTTTCAAACTGCGCATGGCCCCTCTGCTCCCTGTGCGTGGAGAAAACTGGTGGCTGGCAAGCAGCACCCAAACCAGTGTCTCTCCCTGGGAGCCCCAGCACCCCTGGGATGCTGCCCCCAGCTCTGTGCATTGTTTCAGTGTATGCATGTGGATCTTTCTGTGATCAGGGGCTGGAGTTTTCCTGGAGTCCCTGTGGAGGGGGAGGGGACCCAGATGGGGCTAAGAGCCCTCAGCTGAGACGCTTTTGGGGCCATTCCCAGCTCTGGCATGGGGTGAGCGCCTGAGCAACTCTAAGCTGCCCTCACCCCCTCACATCCCCTCACCTCCTCACATCCTCTGTGTCCCAGGAGGGCCATCTCCTCCCTCCTGCAGGCCACCAGGTATGTCGCCCTTGTAGCCCGAGGGGTGTGTGTGTGTGTGTGTGTGTGTGTGTGTGTGGAGGGCATCTTCTTCCTCTCTCCACGTCCCGAGTCGCTATAGCCCACCCTCTCCCCCCAAGTCCTTTCCCCTGGACCTGCCTGCGGCCAGCACTGGGCGGCCATCCTCTCCTATTACACTGTACTTGAACCTGCCTCTCTGCAGAGGCAGTGGCTTATGGATTATTTATGGCCAAGTTTCTGTTTCTGTCTGGTGAGCATGGAGGAAGGGCTAGGGATGCAGCCCTTGCCATGTTTGTCCCTCCTCCTCCTCCACACAGCAGAGGCCACATTCCTGCCTCCTGCCCCTGCACAGTCTCTGTCACTAGTACCTCTTGTGCTACTTCTTGTTCCCCGCAACACACACACAAAACATGTGCATGGACCAGAGGCAGTTTAGTCAGTGTGGCCCTGCTATTGTTTAGCAAAGAGGAGGGGGTTTCATGTCTAAAGCTCCAGTGGCCTCACTGGGCCAATACGACCCCCCAAGGACATCTGGAAGCCCCCAGGGAGGGTCATGGGGTCTGGTTAGTGGCCCAAGGCTGAGTGAGATGAGGAATCAGGGTTTCCATACTGACAGCCTTGGGTGTGGCCAAGAGGGCGACCCCAGCCCATGTGGGGAGGCCCCACTTCTCTGGCTGGCATCCTGCTCTGCCCATGTCCGTGGGCCATGCACGTTGGATGTGGTGGGTGCTGCGGCTTGTCTGCCTCTTGCACGGGCACTAACCCCACCCAGTACTGGCTCTTCCAGGAACTGCCCTGAGCACTGAGGAGGGAACGTGGAACAAACACGAAGCTTCATGCTGGTGGAGGGGCGTGAGGCATGAGAAACAGAAAATTAGACAGTTACATGGCAGAGTGTTAGGGAGAAAAATGCAGTGGGAAAGGGGTTAAAATTTAACCATGGAGATCAGGGAAGCCCAACCACCACCAAGGAGACATTTGGGAAGCAACATTCCAGAGTCTTAAGAGGTGCTCAGGAATGGCCAGGAATTCAGTGTGGCTGGAGCAGAGAGGGAGCAGAGGGATCATGGATGGGCGGGGCCAGGGGAGGGACTGCAGCTGGCCCTGGTTTCCATTTTCACAGCCCCCACTGGGGGACAGGCTACAGGGGCAGGGGGTGGGGGGCCAGGCACGGCGGTGGTGGGGAGAAGTGACTGGATTCTGGGTGTGCTTTCGGCAGTAGAGCCAGCTGAGTTGGCCATCAGGGCTCTGTCGGTGAGCAGAGAAAGGCAGGTTGGATGTCTGGAAGAGAAGATGCTCAAAGCCCAGGGAAAGCCTTTTGAAACAGGGAGTTCTGGTGGAGCTGTCCCCAAAGTCAAGCCTTTCCATTAACTTCTCTTTCCACCAGGACCCACGTGGAGATCAAGGCCTGTGAAGCCTGCAGGATGGAGGACGCGACAGACACTGTGCGTGGCCTGGTCATTGAGCTCTCCAACCTGAAGTAAGGGTTGGGCTCAGATCTGGGGGTGGTGGGAGGACAGGCAGAAGGGATGGGACCTTGGAAGGCCCAGTGGGGCAGGGAGGGATTCCACCCACTCCTGGGCCCACTCTGTTCCCCCTTTTTCATTCCTGCCTTAGACCTGTCCTTTGCAGACCCTGCTCTGCAACAAGCTGATTCCCATTGTGTGCATATGTGTGTGAGTTGCATGTGTACATAGACATGTGTGAGAGTGCTTATGCACCTGTGAGTGATTGAGTGCATGTGAATGAGGTGCAGCCCCCGCTGTTGCGTGGTGACTACCAGGTACCTCACAGCTTGTGCCCATGTTTCCCTGGCAGCCGCCTGATCATGAGCACCCACCGGGACCTGGAAGCCTTCAAGCGCCTCAACTACCGGAAGGCCAAGCCAGCAGGGAAAGGCCCTTTGCCTTTCCCATCGAAGGGGGCTGGGAGTCTCCCTCGAGGGGAGCAATCCTGGAGCGATTTGTAGGCTGCTTCCAACAGGCCTAGGAAGCGTTGTCTGTGTGTGTACACAGGCATGCACATGTGTGCGTTTCCTTTGCACCCTGGCCCAAACTGCTGCACAGTCTCTTAGCAGACTCAGGAATGCCCATAGGCAGCCTAGTATTTTGTTTCCCCTCCAAGATGCTCCAAAGGGTCCTAGTGGGCCCCAGAAACCCACCCTCAGCTGACCCTTAAGTCAGCCTTCTTTGGGATACACTCAGGAAGCCCCATGGTCCTGGCCTCATTAACAGCCTCCCATGGGAATCAGGTACCAGAAGGGAACCCACGTCTCCCCTGGCTTCAGGTGGGCCTGGGCTCCAGGAAGCCTGCCGAGTCTGAGCAGGGCCCAGCCCCACCCAGATGTTTGTCTGGATTTGCAAACTGAGGTTGCTTAGCTGAGGTTATGGAAGGTTCAGAGTATGTTTCTTGCCTGGAAGAGAAAAGGAAACTTTTTGTTGGTTGGACCTTTGTCTTTCTCCAATTTTCTCTTTATTTCTTCTGGGAAGACGAGTAATAAATGAATCTGTAATGAGGCCCCATGCCCTGCTGTCTGGGGTGGGGTCATTCGGCTCCTTCATGTCCCCCCACAAACCTCTCAAACCACTTCATCCTGCACCTCCTGAAGTTTTACTTCTCAGCCTCGGTCTTGCTGGGAAGGCAGATAGTGTCTCTCCAGGAGCAGTTGGCTGCGTGTGTGTGTGCAGGTACGCATGCCCACATTCTCGCAGGTATGTATGGGGCAGTAAGCCCACTGAGACGTGGCTGGCCACCCACCCAGAGAGTCAAGTTCAGTGCTCAGATGACCTGGCCCACCCGCCGTGAGACATGTTGCTCCCAAGGCCCATGCCAGGAAGGAGGTGATCCTGGGAGATTGTTATTAATGCAAACACAGCCAAAGGCATGCACACCTCATCCCACACATGCCTTAGGACAGCCTGGAAGACAGTCCTAGTAGCACCGGATGCTCCTGTCAACTCAGCCACCGCAAAGTTGACCTGACGAAGTCACTCTGCCTGTGGCTCCTGCACCCTGACTCCCACAGCCAAGGAAGGGTCCTCCTCCCACTCTGCCTTCTGACACCTGGGTGATGTAGCTCAGTAGGGGAACGAGGTGGGTAGGGACCCCCACTGCTCTCCTGGCTGGACCTGCGGCTCCCTCCTTGAAGCCTGCCCTCCAGCACATGCCCATTTCCCCAGGTCTCAAGCCCCAGCTGCTCTGGCTCATGAAATTCAATTTGCACGCAGGAGGGGTGGCCAGGGTGTTGTGTCTCTGAACTCCATTCACAGACACTTGGGGCCACTGAGAAGCCACCTCTGTGTTTCCTTTTTTTTTTGGCGGCTGGTCGGTAGGGGGATCCAAACCCTTGACCTTGGTGTTATTTATAACACTGCACTCTAACCAGCTAAAGGCCAGCCCCTTTCTGTTTCCTTTCTCTTACTTCTCACTGCCATCTCCTCTCCTCTCCCCTCCAAGCCTGGGTGGCAGGCTTAATTCAAGGGCTGACTCCTGTCCCCAGCTCACCCCAGCCCTCCTCCTGGGTGGCCTCAGGTCCTGGCTGAAGTCGAAAAGCCAAGGGCAGAGGAAACCTGTGAAGTCCAGTTCTTGCTCCTCCACCCCAACTCTGGAAAACTGTGGGCTGGGGGTGGAGCCCAGGCCCTGGGCCAGTTTGGGGGACTATGGAGGGGCAGCAGCTGAACCCCTGAGCATTGCCACCTGCTGCCCCAGCAGGACAGGATCTGCAGGGACAGGATCTGCAGGTGGAGGCGCCAGACAGGGTGTGAGGACCCATAAAGTGCAGCCCCCCAGGAGAACCAGGTCCCTTCCCCCCTCCCTGCTCTCACTGACACACTGCCCCCCCGTCCGAGGCCTCAGCCAGCCTGACCCTTCAGGACCCAGTCCCCTTTGCTACCCCCCAGGTGTCCTTCCCTCACTCTGAGCTACCAGCAATGTGGCTGGTTCTGTGCCCCTCGTCACTGGGGCATCCATGGTGACGTGAACATTCACTGAGTGCTTCCTTAGTGAGGAAGAGTTGGGGGGAGAAACCGAGGTTTAATTTTCTCTCGATTCCCCCCTCAAATCAACCCCTCCTCTAGTACAGGTGGAGGGGAGCGAGCACACCTATTTTGCATGTAAAGCTGGCAGGGAGTTTGGGAACACCATACCTAGAAAAGGCCTCATGATGCTGACCCAGCGGCAGGTGGCTTGCTCAGGGGTGCGGGGCTGGGGCAACAACTCAGAACCTCACAACCGCCCTGTGGCGCCCACTCCTGTTTCTCCACAAGAAGCACCTTACCGCCACTCCCCCGCCCCACACCCCAGCGTGAACCGAAATTCGGGGGGGGGGGGGG